AATAGCCTAGCAGGAACTGAAGGCTGAATGTTCATATAACCATAACGGTCAGATGCTATTCTGCATATATTTATTTATGATTACTAGAGCTCATGGTAGTTACAAGGGAAAGGGGAGCAAAGTAAAATTTTATGACTATCTGCCTTAAACTATTTGTAAAAAGCCTTATTCTCTCAAACCATAAAATGCCGTATCCCTTAGGAGAACCTGTTAGTACATCTTAGCATTGCTGCTGAATGGAGTTTGCACAAAAACATCAACAGGAAAAATATGACTAAACTGATGCGGCTGTACGCTTGGTGTGATGCAGTTATTTATTCTTTGGCTTTTCAGTGACTGTTTTTTGTTGTTTGTTTTGACGCTGTAGGGAATAACTGGCATCTTCTTTGTGGGACTTCAAAAATGCTTCATCAAAACTCAGACTAAAGTCATAGCTGAGACTACGGAGGCCAAGATCCCTGAACTTGAGGTATGTAAATAAAAGACAGGACAAATCTCTACAAGCGCCTCCCAGTGAAACCCGCTTTTCCCGCTTTCTCACTGCCATTACATCTGCTCCAGCCTTCCTGGAGAATTTGCAATAAAGAAACAATGAGTTGTGATCGCTTCGCAAAATTATCTTATTTCCAAGGATTGCTTCAAAAAACAACAAGTCAAAGGAGACAGGATTAGACAACCGGCAGACAAAAACCTCTCAGCACAACACTGAAGCTCAAGAACAATAATCCTGTTGTAGTCAAAAGGTCGCAAGGCAGATCAGGATTAGCAGATGCCAAAAGTCAATCAAATTGTTTTCTCCACAAATTGAGCCTCGTGTTCTCAAGCAGAATGAGGCAGAAGTAATGAATTTTAAAGAGCAGCCATGTTTAACAAATGTGATTTGAGAAAGCACTTAACCACTAGCTTAAATCCCTCGAAGACGAGAGGAGACGCGGGGTCGGCAAGCCTGGGTGGGATCTGTCTCGGACTCTGCCCTACGGCAATGTTTAAGGCCAGACTATAGGAGCAAGACAGCGTGCTGTGATCCCTTCCCTTTCCCACTGCTCCCAGCGCCCTGCACGGCAGGCGCTGCCCGAGCCAAGGCTGTGGCCACATCCTTGCCTTGAGTACTTCTGCATGGACCTACCTTTCAGGAATGTGTCTAATTGTTTTTAAACCCATCTGATTTTTGCCCACCACATCCTGCTGCAACGAGTTCCATAATTCGTGTGCCGCATGAAAAAGTACTTAATTCTTTATTTTAATCCCTTTCTCTGACAAGTTAATCTGATGCCTTAGTCTTTGCGCTGCGCAATGAAAGGAGTAGAGGCCATCCCCCGTTTCCTTCCTCGAAGCCTCCGGCGCTGTTATAGAGCTTCAGCACAGCCCTCCTGTCTTCCCACTGGCAAGATGAAGGGTGTTAGTCAATTTAATTTCTCCTCACAAAGAAGCCATTCCACATAAAATGTCAGCAGAACATGTGTTTAAAATAAAGCGTGTGCAGAAACATTTTCCTGAATCATGACCTAAATTCCAAGACACAGATTCTTTGATTATGCCATAAGAAGCTAATAGATCTTTTCTGTTGCCATCATAAAATAACTATGACTTTTCAGTCTTCGGCAGAACATTGCCCCAGGTAGAGGACTGAAATGTAAAACCCAATGAGATACATGTAGATTTAAGATTTAGTCATTTCTTCCTGGGAGTCTGCCTGCTTTTTGAGAAATTGGGAAACACATACTCAGGTATCTTCAGCGGTAATCTTTCCTCTTCCTCCCTCCCCCAGTTTCTGCAGTTTTTTTGAGGACAGGGAAGCACAAAAGGAGGCAAAAATCTCAGTATTAATTCATGGACGCGGTTCAGAAAACTAGGGGGCTTGTTGTCTCTGGAGGCAGCCTCAGTATAGCCTGGGGGAAAGATGCGGCCACGTTGCAACACCACCGTTTCTCCCTGTCATCCGCCCTGCGCTGGGATACCCGTCCTGGAGCAGAAACCCCATATCCCCAGATGTCTCGCCTCCCCTTGGCTGGGAGGTGTTGGCTCCCCTCATGCCTGCCCCTGGTGTGCAGGAGACAAGGAAACTGTAACTTTTCTGCACTTCTCTAGCTGCAAAACCAGGAGCTGACTGAGAAGCCACCAGTAAAAGCCTCCATGGAGGCCGTATGGCGCCTTTCTGCACGTGGCGAGTATGCGTTTGCAGGTCCATGCCTGGGACGGAGAGCTGCCTGTCACCAGCAATCACGGCCCGTCCCAGCAGGTAGCGCTGTCTCGGCCGGAGACCACGGGGCATCCCACTCGCTGCTCGCCGGGACTGGTTTTCCCGGCATGGAGCAGCTGGCAAGGGAGGAAGAGAGTTGCAAGGAAAAGCACCTCTCTGGCTGCTCCGGTGGGAGACACGTTCCTGGGGATGGGGCTGTTTCTGGAGCCTGTGCCCTGTCGGTTCCCCGGGAGCCACCTTCCCAGTGGAATGGCTTTGAGCAAAGACTGAGAAAATGACTCAAAATTCATCAGGTTTTGGTGGCTCTTTTGTTAAGACTTCCCAAAGCCATGAAGGAAATTTCTATAAATGAGAAACACTGCTCTAGACACCTTCTGGAGAGAAGCTTGCTTGCTGTATGGGCTACCACAACCAACATACACAATGCTGCATTGGCAGATAGCTCCGCATAGACCTATCCAATAATCTTTTTATATCTCCCTTCCGAAGTCCTGCCAAAATACACCATGGAATAATGCAGTGTACACGACGTGTTATAAATTACTGAATATAGCCGTGCTAAGAATTTCTGTGAGCAATAAATTAAAGTGTTCGATCACAAAATCAGTAGCAGAAGGAGAGAGAAATTAAGTAGTAAGAGCAAAGCAGAAAGGAGATGGTTTAATCTTTGGTTTTAAATGAGCTGGGGAGCTCCAGAAGGCTGTTCCAGCTGGTGGGGATTGCGAAGGAGAAGGCTCTTGGAGCATAATGGGCAGAAGGAGGAGAGAGCAGGGTGGTGCTGGCCTAACAAGGGCAGAAGAAGGTGAGGCTGTGGGGGGG